TTGCTAAGTTTTGTTTTTTTTGCTTGGTCTGCAAAAACAACAGCTGAAATATTTTCATTGTAGCAGAGAAAGAATCTTGTCTTTTGTGTATTTTTTCAAATATTTCCAAAGTTACATGAAAGTCATACTCTATTTCCTTTTAGTATAATATTGATAACTAAAAACTAAAACTGCAACATTATATTATTGCTTAATCTTATGTAAGCAGCAAAAAGTCACAATGGCATCGCATGTCTGCATGTGGCTTGACTTCTTCCCCCTGCTGTGCAGAGATGCAACTAAATTACCTTCTGCATCATTTGTTAAGAAAACACTAATTAGAGACAAGAATGCTGGTAGCCTGTTAGGGCTAAAGTCTTTCCAGGTAATGTCTTGGCCCCATAGAATGGCCTATCTGCAGACCATTACTTAGATGGAATCACTGTGGCTAATGTAAGATGAAAAGCTTCATTCCAAAAATTCCATATGTACTGTGTCACTTCTATAAAGGACAAGATGCAAGTCCTTGTAAGATCCCTGAAGATATCTAGAGGTCTGTCTACTTTCTCTTGATCCTTATACAGAATAATGTCTCTGTAAATACTATCATACTTTCTACCTTGCTCCTTTTTTTCTACTAGATGATCAAATTTATGTAATCGGGTTCTTATTAGGAAGATTTCAGTGAACTGTTGACAATGATGTACAGTAGTGCTTCGCCAGGATGACGTCTGGGGAAAATGATTCTGCTGCACCACCACACAAAACCAATTAGAGAACTATTTTCTGCGACAGGTCAGGAATTTACATGGTTTCTCATGAAAAGATGTGCCTTTTAATTTCTTTATTAAGATGACATCCATGTCCCTTGTGACTTTTTACAATGACAATCATTTGTTCAGCCCAATGGAAATACAATCAGTAAAATCGCCTCACCGGTACACAAGCAAGGCAAAGATCCATCGAGCGTCATTCCAAATTTTCCAAATGAACTGCTTTAAAGATTGATAATTAAAACAATATCTGTTGATCAAAACTGTTGACAGGACCCAAGTCTGTATTATGGCAGCAAACCAAGGACTGATAGTACAGAAGGTAGGCATTGCAATAGACAGGCAGACTCCGACCCATTATATTTTAAATAAGTAAAAGTATTGAATTTAACCTTTTTTTTTTAGTAACCATTTTATTAGCAAGAACAGGAAAGTCTAAGACATAGGAGCATTTTTAAAGCTGGACACATTACTCCACACCACAACCTGTATTTTGAGTGCCATGTGGTTTTGTTTTATGGTGGTAAGGCCATACCACTGCTTTATAAATGGAACCATAATGATGAGCAGCCTAGATATTCTAACTGGCAGAGTATTTGAGATTATGTTTAAAGTGAACCTCCCTTGTTCTCTAAAGTGTATAACTTAATTTTATTGGTAAATTGTTGGTACGTGTGCTTATCTTCCAGTCATTTCCTTTTACCCTGGAGATGACCCTGGATCCTAGGTCCAGGATGTACACATAATTTTTCATAGTAGAGACTTCTTTCAGCATTGAACCTCACCGATCCCATGCAACAGGCAAATAACAGAACCTCAGTGTCCAGTAGGGGGTGAATGACAGGGACAGGATTAGAGCTGGAAGGTTTGGAACTAAATCTACTAAGCTTGGAGAGAAGTTGAAAACCTAAATATAGCCTAAAACTCTATGTGACCAGGAACTGATTGCAAGACAAATGAAGCACCACAATGTTTTCTGCACCTTTCTAATAATGTTGTTTTAGTGCACCTTGGTGTATGTAACAGGTTTTTAAATAACCTTTAATTCTAAAATGTAATAAAAAAAGTCTCTTTACCCACGTTTCTAAAATTATATACTGTACATATAGCTGGTATTTTATCAGTTATCAAAACGGAGCAAAGAGCCTTGCCATGACCTTCACAAGTAAAGTTATAGCTGGATCAAATAGTTAACTTGCTACTTTCATTAATTTTCCTCTAAATTCTTGTAAAATAAGTGCTTTTCTAAAACTTAATTATTTATATTGGTAAGCTGGGCAAAGTTATTCAGACAAAAAGTTTTACTTTATGACAATCCAAAAGCCAGCATGTTATACCCATGATTCAAATTCAAACAGTTAGTAAATCCATTTTTGAAATAATGTACGATTGCTTTGAAACATAAAACGATATAGTTAAATGAAACACAGTAAACCACTTATTGTGCTAAGTCAAATTCATTGTACAAATATTGTAGATAATAACATGTAAAGGACTTGCTTACATTCAAGCAATTGACCATATTTGAATTAAATGTTAGTTTTAATATTAGTTTTATTATAGGTATAAAATAACAGCTACCCATGTCAAGCATATTTCTTCCCATGTTTGTTTCTGTCTTTCTGTGCTGATATGTTACCTAGAGTAGACAGATGGTATGGATTTACATTCATGTAAATAAAGAGTTATACCTGATATATAATTCAGCTCATATTTCTTACCAGCAACGCAGACTGTGAAGACATCCCCATGTTTTTCTTGCTGAGAAATCAGAAATTTTAAAAGATTTTTCCTGAACTGATAAGCCACACCTATGTAAGGAATCCAACCATTTTCCAAAGGAGGTTCCCCTTCTCTCCTACAAAAATAAGAGTAACATGTTATTGAGTAAATGATGATCTCCATAATATTTAGTATTGCTGAATTCAGATGTGTTTAAGTACTTGTAATGCACAAGGAATATATGAGTTTTTTTGTTTGCTTTTTATTTTGTTAGCTTTTTATGGAATATAGAAGTTTTAATGTACAGTGCTCAGCATAAATAAGCACACCCCAACAGATTTGTAAAAAAAACACCTTTATTTTCCTTTCAGAATCAACATTTTCTATGGGACTCTATACTACAAAATACTCCCACAAATGCAGGTCATTGATTGCAAACAAGATTTGTTAATTTGCACACTCAAAAAATTATTTATTTTTTCTGACTAATTCATTCTAGACAATGTTGCAAAAATGAATACACCCCAATGAAAGTCTTAGGAGCAAACCTAAATTTTAGACAACAAAATCCTAATTAACAAGTATTCGACTACAGGTGACTTTAATTATTCATTAAACAGGTGTCCAGCAGACAGTTGACTATAAAAGGGCATTACTTAACAAGGAGAACCCGCTCCCATTTCCTGCTGTCAGCAAAGGCACCACATGAAAGAGAAATGTCACAAGTCCTGAGAAAGAAAATAATTTCTTAACACAAGAAAGGTGGGGGCTAGAAAAAGATCAGCAAAGCTTTACTTATCAGTCAGAATACTGTAACAAACATGGTACAAAAAGTTAAAGATGGAACTGAAACCATCTCACAGAGACGTTCAGACCGTCCACAGCAGTTAACACCTCGATAGGAGCATCTTTTGATGAGAAGGGTTGAGAAAACTACCATGCAAGTTCACTGCAGCTAGCTAAAGTAGTAGAAAGCCAAACTGGGGTGATTTTTCCTGTGACACAATACGGCGTACTTTGAAGAGGAATGGCATGCATGGGTGTCATCCATGAAGGAAACCTCTCCTAAAGCCCATGCACAAAAAAAGCCTGCCTGGAGTTTGCCAGGATCCATGCTGAAACAGAAGAAGACTACTGTGACTCTGTACTCTGTGTAATGAGTGATGAGATAAATGTTTTTGGAACTGATGGCTTCAAACCTGTATAGAGTCACAAAGGTGAGGAGTACAAAGAAAAATGCATGGTACCTACAGTGAAACATGGTGCTGGCAGTGTTCTTTTGTGGGGCTGCATGAGTGCTGCTGGTGTTGGGGAGCTGCATTTCACAGATGTACTGCTCTATATTGAAAGAGAAGATGCTACCATCACTCCGTGCCCTTGGTCATTGTACACTTTTCCAACAAGACAAGGATCCAAAACACACATCTATGGCCACTTTTACATTTCCGAAGAATAACAGGGTGAAAGTGATTCATTGGCCAAGTATGTCTCTTGATTTGAACCCAATCAAACTCCTATTAGGAATTATGAAGAGACAAGCTGAGCATAACTCTCCATCCTGCATCCAGGCTCTAAAAGAGGTTGTTCTTGAAGAATGAAAAAAAGATATATGTTGCAATATTTTGCCAACTTGTTCATTCCATGCCTAGAAGACTTGGTGCTGTCCTTACAAATCATGGAGGTCATACAAAATACTAGATGTAGTAAAACTTTAAAACTGAAGACTTTGTAATCTAAGTTATATTGTTAGCCTTACTTTCATGTAATGAGCAAAACAAATGTTCTACAAAACTCAGTTTTGTAAACATTTTGGAAATTGTTCTTCTGTTTATTGAGATATTGGTTAAATTCTTACTTTTCAAACTACTACTATGTACTGTACATCTGGACCACACACCTAAGTTCCTCTAAGTTATCTAAGAAAAGCTTGCAGTAATCTCTCTCTCTCTCTCTCTCTCTCTCTCTCTCTCTCTCTATATATATATATATATATATATATATACTATATATTGCCAAAAGTATTGGGATACCTGCCTTTACATGCACATGAACTTTAATGGCATCCCAGTCTTAGTCTGTAGGATTCAATATTGAGTTGGTCCACCCTTTGCAGCTATAACAACTCTTCTGGGAAGGCTGTCCACAAGGTTTAGGAGTGTATCTATGGGAATGTTTGACCACTCTTCCAGAAATGCATTTATGAGCTCAGGCACTGATGTCGGACAAGAATTCTCTGCTCTAATTCATCCCAAAGGTTTTCTATCAGGTTGAGGTCAGGACAGTCAAGTTCCTCCACCTCAAACTTGCTCATCCATGTCTCAATGGACTTTGCTTTGTGCACTGGTGCTCAGTCATGTTGGAACAGGAAGGGGCCATCCCCAAACTGTTCCCACAAAGTTGGGAGCATGAAATTGTCCAAAATGTCTTGGTATGCTGACGCCTTAAGAGTTCCCTTCACTGGAACTGAGGTGCCAAGCCCAAGCCCTGAAAAACAACCCCACACCATAATCCCCCCTTCACCAAACATTACACTTGGCACAATGCAGTCAGGCAAGTGCCGTTCTCCTGGCAAACGCCAAACCAAGACACGTCTATTGGAATTCCAGACAGAGAAGCGTGATTCGTCATTCCAGAGAACACATCTCCACTGCTCTAGAGTTCAGTTGTGTGCTTTTCACCACTGCATCTGGCGCTTTGCATTGCACTTGGTGATGTAAGGCTTGGATGCAGCTGCTTGGCTGTGGAAACCCATTCTATGAAGCTCTCTACACACTGTTGTTGCACTAATCTGAAGGCTACACAAAGTTTGGAGATCTTTAGCTATTGAATATGCAGACAGTTGGCATCTTTTGCGCACCGTGCACTTCAGCATGCGCTGACACCGCTCTGTCATTTTACGTGGCCTATCACGGTACCACACTTAAATTCAATGAGTTCCTGAGAGCAACCCATTCATTCACAAGTGTTTGTAGAAGCAGTCTGCATGCCTAGGTGCTTGATTTTTATACACCTGTGGCCATGGAGGTGAATGGAACACCTGAATCCAATGATATGGAGGGGTGTCCCAATACTTTTAGCAATATAATATATATATATATATATATATATATATATATATATATATATAAAAATAAAATGTCAGTTGTTATCCTTATATTGGTAACCAGTGCATCATGCATTGTTCAATTACAAAAGTATTTGTATCCACAGTCATTACATAGCTTATCCAGTTTTTTGCCCATGTCACATAAAGTCTGTCTTTTAGACACTTCACATGATGAGGCAATTATAACAAATTGATGTGATAAAAATATTCATAAAAGTGTATATCTTCAGTACTACATACTCAGTGTGTTTCTCCAACACCATCTATCCAAGAGTTAAACATATGTATATATATATGTATATATATATATATATATATATATATATATATTAATAAAGAGTTAATAAATATTAATTAATAAAACACTTCCTGCGATTAGACATGAGGCAGAAGACTGTATATGGGTTAATAGTCATAAAGATTTGCTTGGTTTGCTGTCTTTTAAACACTTGTCCAACTGCAAATTCACATAATGTGGGGGGGGTGAATCACATGTAACCAGTGGATTTAAAGACTGATTTGTTTAGTTGTGCCTGAGATATGCAAGACCTGGAGTTTAATAAATAAATGCACTATATCCGAAATGAATATTACTAAATTTGTTTTTTACAATACTTTATGATTGTAGCTAGATAGACAGATATAGATAAATATTACAAATACTTTTCCTAATATGAATTTATATGCTTCATGTAATTTATGATACTCTCTTTCATGTAAGTCTCATATTGTGTTTTAGAAAACCAAAATTCTTTTTTTCTTATTACAGCTGTTTAGCTAGTAAAATCCGATTTAAACTCCATAACACAAAGCATGTCTATTTTAGACAGGATTAATACGAATATTCAAATGAAACTCTGATGCTATATCCCATCTGTGAAGGTGACTTACACTACATGCAGAACAAGCCATTTTGATTAATAACGAGATACTTACTAGCCAAGATGTAATCAAAGATCAAGAGATCACCAGCTTACCACTATCATACAATGTACAGAAATGGATGTCTGAGTTAACTATTTATGTCCCTGCTTAATATTTCACAAACAACAATATTGAATTAGACTAGAATGATTGTTTCTGCATAAAAATAATGCTAGCCATAACATTCATATTTTGCCATTTTCAATTTTGTCATTAGTATGGTGATATCTATTTGTTTAATGTTTCCCATTTAATGGTTTAATTGGTAGTAGTGCAACATATGCTAGAATGGTTTACATAATGGAAATCTTGCTGTTGAAGGATGTGGAACTTACAAGTCAAAAGTAGTCACATCACAAGTCAGAAATCATTAAACCAACCCTTCAATTGGCTACCAAGCCTCAGCAGAGGGCTCATTACTAGTGGCTAGCTAGGACAGTGTATAGGTAAAAAATCTCTGACAGATATTTAGATAGGGTTTTTTGTCATATACTAATTTAATTCATCTAATTTCACCCTCCATGCTCTGTCATTTGGTCAAAACCTGTATACTTCACAGTGTTTCCGCGGGGTAAGGAGGACGCGGCTCAGAAATCCAGGGGAAAATTAACTTAATGCTCAGAGTCTGTGGACACAAATCATGGAGACGGAGGGGTCATCGTTTGCATCAAACATGGTTAACTCACAACTGATAAGCCAAATACTGTTAAACACCATGCCATATCATGGTGATGTTCTATGCCTCCAAACAGAAAATGTTTATATATACACACAGGTGTATGTGTATGTATATATATATATATATATATATATATATATATATATATATATATATATATATATAAATTTTGCTGCATCAATAGCAGTTATCAATTTAAACCATAAAACGTAAAACACAATTATTTGTTATTATAATTTATATACCGGTAATATTTAAAAGATAACATATTCTATCAGATACTTAATTAGAAACACCCATGTTAGTAATAAAACAAAAAAACATTTTCTGAAACAAGATTATGACTGTTCAGGCCAAAGTCTTAAACATTAATGAAATGTGTAGTAAATGTGTACAATAAGTATCCATAGTAATAGCAACAGAACTAAAAGCAACTGAAATTATGGTAATACCATTGTACTTTGTTGTTACAAAATTAATTTTAAAATAAACATCAAACCTATATGATTTAAGCAGAAACTATACCTAAAAATATTTTTTAATGTAAAATCTTAGAGAATCAAGTCCAGTGGCAAGTATTTTTTGTGTCTATTGCAAGACTGTAGCCAATAGTTGTATTCTCTTGGAACACCTAAATATTTATATCTACTAGGCCATGAGAATTTATCAGGGGAGCTTGATACCATAAATTGGATATCTAAAGGCTGTATCACACTGGTAGAACTGGCTATTGTCATAAAAATATGTTTGCTAAGTAATAAGATATTTAAGATAGCATGGCATTCATTTTTTAGGAAGCCATAAAAAGTAAAATATCAGTTGGCTTTTTAACTTGTCATAATCAACTTAAATTATCTTACTTTGCTGATAATCTCTAAACTACCTGGGTAAGAAAACATTTATCCCATAGCAAGAATAACCTTAAAATAAACTTTCACAAATGTGAACAATTCAAATTCAGCATGTAATAAATAAGCAGTAAAACAGCATGTCATAATTATGTTTCTTGTGAGAGTTGAGCTTGGCCCTGGTCATTTTGGTCAGTAAGGCTGTCCATAACCAGAATGACCAATAGTGAACATAGGAGGAAAAAAGAGGTGGATCCAACTTTGAATTTAACAGGAAGAGTTGATAATTCCTTATAAATTCAGTTGCCTATATATCTGAATTTAATGATCACTTTTATTTGCAGATATTATAAATTGATCTTTATAAAATATTTTTTATCACTTACAGTGCATTAATAAAATATTTCAGACCCCATTCACTTTTTTCAATTTTATTATGTTGCAGCCTGATACTACCGTTGTTTAAACTAAATTTTCCTTTCTCATTAATCTATATTCAGAACCCCGTAATGACAAAAGTGAATACAGAATTATAGAAATGTTTGTGAATTTATTAAAAAGGAAAAACAAATCTCCATGTACTTAAGAATTCAGACCCTTTACTCAGTACTTTGTTGAAGCACTTTTGAAAGCACCTTGAGTCTTTTTGGGTATGATGCAACACCTGGACTGGGGGATTTTCTGCCATTCCTGTTTGCAAATCCTCTCAAGCTCAGTCAGGTTGGATGGGAACCATCAGTGGACAGCCATTTCCAGGTCTCTTCAGAGATATCCAATAGGGTCAAATCAGGGCTCTGGCTGGACCACTCTAGTCCCTAAGCCACTCCTGTGTTGTCTGAATACTTTATGAATGCACTGTATATCATATGAACAGCTGATGTTCACCTTTTGATTGTTTGGAATTTACAGCTGAAATCGAACTAAAACTGTTTTATGTTTTTGCAGAGCCAAAAGTTTGGTGAGGTTATACATTCTGCTTGCATCTCTAATAATGTTATTTCTCTGTCAGGTTTACTGTATTGTGACACTGAAAGCATTAAATATCTATGTTCCTGTCCTGTCTGATACCCATCACCTAAACAGGAAAAAAAAGGAGAAATCTCTCTGAGATACACAGAGATGATAGAGATTACACTTCTTCATTAATGTATTTGAAAAAGTGTTTCTTATTGCTGCATGTGCTCCTATTAGGGAAAATATATTCAACAATAAAATATTCAGGAGGTGGAGACATTTTCCATCACTTCTAGTTCTTTCTGAGACTCATTTACCGTAGTTGACAAAACATAAGGAGAAATCACCCAAATGAGGTCAAAGACAGTAATAAAAGGCTGACAGAGGTTCTACACCTTCCTAACTTTATACTAAACCAAAAATGTAAGGTTTTAGCTGCAGTTGATGTGTGTGTATTTAAGTGTATGTTTAGAATAGCAGATCAATTTACTGAAAGCAAAGTGGTAATATGGTACAACAATGGGAGACTAACATAAAAGCTGGTCATACATGGTCCAGTTTTTTTCATTCAGCCAGCTGGCTGTATGAAAAAACTTAATTGATTTCCCCATCCACATGTTCGAGATGGATGTGGGACTCTACCCCACCTCTCCTGCTGAACCACCTGAGATTCGAACCTTGTACAGGTGAAACTCGAAAAAGTTGAATATCGTGCAAACGTTCATTTATTTCAGTAATGCAACTTAAAAGGTAAAACTAATAAATGAGATAGACTCATTACATGCAAAGCAAGATAGTTCAAGCCGTGATTTGTCATAATTGTGATGATTATGGCTTGCAGCTCATGAAAACCCCAAATCCACAATCTCAGAAAATTAGAATATTGTGAAAAGGTGCAATATTCTAGGCTCAAAGTGTCCCACTCTAATCAGCTAATTAGGCCATAACACCTGCAAAGGGTTCCTGAGCCTTTAAATGGTCTCTCAGTCTGGTTCAGTAGAAATTACAATCATGGGAAAGACTGCTGACCTGACAGTTGTGCAGAAAACCGTCTTTTGACACCCTCCATAAGGAGGGAAAGCCTCAAAAGGTAATTGCAAAAGAAGTTGGATGTTCCCAAAGTGCTGTATCAAAGCACATGAATAAAACGTTATGTGGAAGGGAAAAGTGTGGAAGAAAAAGGTGCACAAGCAGCAGGGATGACCGCAGCCTGGAGAGGATTGTCAGGAAAAGGCCATTCAAAAGTGTTGGGGACTTTCACAAGGAGTGGACTGAGGCTGGAGTCAGTGCATCAAGAGCCACCACACACAGATGGATCCTGGACATGGGCTTCAAATGTCATATTCCTCTTGTCAAGCCGCTCCTGAACAAGAAACGTCTTACCTGGGCTTAAGAAAAACAGACCTGGTCTGTTGCTCAGTGGTCCAAAGTCCTCTTTTCTGATGTGAGCAACTTTTGCATCTCATCTGGAAACCAAGGA